CCTGCCACTGTCGCGCTTTTGCTTAGACATGTGCTCGCCGTACCCACATAGGCATGTCAATGCTCGCACATTTTGACCATTCCTGCATCGTTGCGTGTACCTCAATCCTCTCCTTCCCTTTTTCTATATGAAACAACCAGGTGGCATACAGTGGGATGCGACAAGTTCGGCGTAGGGTATCCAACTTTACCGATGGCTCAAGACCGGCATAGTTTGGAGCGCCTCTGGAGCCCTGGGCCAGCTGTGAGCTATCCTACGCCCTCACAGCAAAGCAAGCGACCCAACTAGTCTTGGGGCACGCGTACATGAATCCAGGCATGAGTCGGTAGAAGCAGGGTGTTGAATGCTGTGAGGAGTAGACGCATTACGTGGCCGACAGCTGGCAGAACTTTTGTAACGGCGGTACGCGGGTAGAAGCTCAGAATGTCTACGGTAACGTGTGAACTTGCACCATCTTATAAGGGGATTGGGACACCCTTGCACATTTTGTTAGAGGCAGCTGCAAAAGGGTCACGTTCAGGACAGCAGATGTTTTGGACCAAATTTCGAGTAGCGTCAGCGCGTCGACCTCAAACCAGTCCACTCGTGTGCGGACAAACGCAGAATATCCCAAGCACACACACACACACACACACACACACGCACACATATGTTTATATATATATATATATATATATATATATATTCACATACAAGATAGATATACACACACAAATATATATATATATATATATATATATATATATATATATATATATATATATTCACATACAAAGATAGATATACACACACAAATATATATATGTATATATATAGATATATATATATATATATATATATATATATATATATATATATATATCTATATATCTATATATCTATATATCTATATATCTGTATATCTATATATCTATATATATCTATATATGCGTTTATTTTAACCGGAGCACATCATTGCGTCAAACGGTCGTCTTCACGCAACGCACCGCGCTGCGAAACGTGACTAGGTCGCTAGTCATTAAGTGCATGGCCAATCTGCGTACGGTAGATACAATGCATCAGCTATCTGCCACTTGCAAGCGGCTGTCGAACCGTCATCGTCTGCTATCGCTCGAGCTCGGACGGGTCGCCGCACAATGGTGTTTTAACCGGCCCGGGGCACGTGCGTCAGTGCGTATCAGCCGAATTAGGCGCCGGTGCGTGGCCCAGGCCGGCGCGGCACGTGCTGCAAACGTATCAAGAGCATTGTTCTGAACTGGGGCTGACGGGCCGCTGTCGGCGGCGCCACGGCGGCCGGCAGGGGAAGAGCAACGAGACGAACCTGCCGCCACACACAACATGGAGACTGCCGGAGGAGCGGGCGGCGAGACGAACCTGCCGCCTCACACAACATGGAGACTGCCGGAGGAGCGGGCGGCGAGACGAACCTGCCGCCTCACACAACATGGAGACTGCCGGAGGAGCGGGCGGCGAGACGAACCTGCCGCCACACACAACATGGAGACTGCCGGAGGAGCGGGCGGCGAGGTGGACTTGGATCGGATCTTGGTCTGGTCTGCAGTCTGCACTTGGATCGGATGGTCTGCAGTCAGATCCGCCTGCTGTAGCAGGCTCGCGGCACCTGACGCGGACGCAGAGGAGACAGGCAGACCAGATGCTGATGCGGAGGACACAGGCAAGCCAGATGCCGACGCGGAGGAGACAGGCAGATCAGATGCCGACGCGGAGGAGACAGGCAGATCAGATGCTGACGCGGAGGAGACAGGCAGACCAGATGCTGATGCGGAGGAGACAGGCAGACCAGATGCCGACGCGGAGGGGACAGGCAGGCCAGATGCCGATGCGGAAGATACAGGCAGATCAGATGCTGACGCGGAGGAGACAGGCAGACCAGATGCTGACGCGGAGGAGACAGGCAGACCAGATGCCGACGCGGAGGGGACAGGCAGGCCAGATGCCGATGCGGAAGATACAGGCAGACCAGATGCCGACGTGCAGGAGACAGGCAGACCAGGTGCCGACGTGCAGGAGACAGGCTGAAACACACGGGATGTGAAGGAGACAGAATAAAGCGCAGCAGACGTGGAGGAGACAGAATAAAGCGCAGCAGACGTGGGGGAGACAGACTGAGGCACAGGAGAGGTGGAGGAGACAGACTGAAGCGTAGGAGACGTGGAGGAGACAGAATGAAGCGCAGGAGAGGTGGAGGAGCCAGACTGAAGCGCAGGGGACGAGCGGACCGGCCACCGGAGCGGAGGGGAAAACCAACCAGCCGTCTTGCCACCGAAGTGAAGTAGACGAGAGGATCTAGCACTGAAGTGAAGTGGGTAGATGGACTTGGCACCCAAGTGGAGGGCTCAGACCACGGTGACACTGCGGTGAAACGGGCAGGGGAGCCTCCACTGAACGGAAGGAGGACCTGCCGCTGGAGCAGAGTGCACAAAATACCCACAACTGGTATGTTCCTCCGGTTAGCATTACGTCGCTTTGAAGTGGACTGAAATAGTAAAGCAAGTTCTGAAATAATAATTCAAAGTAAAAGCTACGACGTTATGGTTGATTCACGGAGTAAACCTAAGTAAATGTGGAGGAATCGCACCCCTCCCCCCTAGAAAACATGAACGATGCGTATGTCAAAGAGGCACACTTAAAAACTTTACTGTTACAAATCCCCTGGGCGGCTCGCGTAACATTCCAGACGAACTGGCCGCTTCACTGATGTCATTTTGTCAGCTTTTCTTTCCCCCATTTGCCTTCGTATTGAATCCATGTAGTGGCATGAAAGGATCACACGTCTTTCGGGCTGATGAGTGCCAATCGGGCTCCGTCTCCGTCCGTAACCTCGTACGCATGGGAAAATACATGTAAGCATGGCCATGAAGGATTTCAGGACGTGAATAGCCCCGAGCAACGTCTGCCGTCTGAACATCATCCGCATCTCAGCGGGACTACAGCACACCGCACGGTCACCTAACGTGTAAAAATTGCCTAATCCGACCGCTATCATATCCAAGCAGCTTAGCTGGCGATGGTTACTTACGAGTGTGACGTGACGCGTTTCCCACGGGGATCAGCGCCATCAATCATTTAGCTTTTAAAGCTTCCATTGATTACCGCTGCATCCAAATATCGATTGGTCATATTGGTCAAAATGGTCAAATTGTACTCATGAGCGGGATCACGACCACGCAAACGTGCAATGCTGTCTAATAACATGACACCTTTATGGAGCTGACGTGCGGATAGCCATAAGTACTTAGTGTCTATGGGCGAAACTATAGCGATTCAACCTATTGCTTAATATCAATCGATATGTCAATCCGCGTTTACTTGACATTACTGACGTTAAATTCCGCCTGCAGCTATTTAGATGCATAGCTTTTCTTGAGACAGAGGGAAGACCGCATGCCCTGTGTCGAAAAGACCACAACCCTCCGATAACCCAAGTGTTTGGGACCAGTGCAACGCGGAATTGGCCCATGTTTAATCTCATAATCTTCACACGGAACGGGTGAAACGTTTAGGCATGTACTGTGATAATGTTGGGTGAGAAAAACGCGTGGGCAATGCGCAGTCATAATCATCCCTGCTTCTCAGGCTTAATCACACCACCGGTACCCACTTTGCCAGACGTTGGGGTCCTTCTTAGAAATCGGCTCGGCTCGTCGCATCGAAGTGAAATAGAGCATCCACTTCCAGAAACATCGACGATTCACGTTGTTTTGCATTGCGGTTGGCCGGACGATAGCGTCAAAGCGTGAGTCACTTCCTTCATAAATGCTCTTTTCGCCCATCTAGCGTCGGACTCATAATCTTGCGAAGCCCGAAGATTTCTTCACAAGCTGGTGCTTGTTTGGGTTGAATGTTAAAAACATCGACGAATGCGATTGATAGGTTCCTTCGGGATGCCCGCATTGAACTGTGCCTGGTTCAGTTTGATTTGGTTTAGCGTGGGCTCTTCGACAGGCTGGTATTCCATGGGTTGCGGCTGGTGGTAGTCCACTTCAGTTAACATTGAGTTTGACTCACCTTATTAGGTCATTTAATGTAGACGAGTTTTGTTCCATAGAATTGGGCTCAAGGGATGCATATTTATTCACCTGAACTCGAATACACGACAAGTACGTTTTTGAACGCGTAGAAGTTATAACGCTACGAATGCCGACACGTTAGGCTGTTGGCACGCTGCACGTGCGCGGTTTGCCACATCCAACTTTTTATCAGGACTCTTGCCCGTAAGCTGCGTCGTCGCTGGCAACTTTAGCGCGAACGTGTCTCTGCATGCGAATATGCGTGAGGTGAAGAGGGGCGTCCCGTCTGCCTCCGAGCCTCCACCGGCATCTGCACCCGTGCAACGTCGCGTCGCTGTCCGCCGCCATCCGTCATCACCGGCGTATACATCACCCGTCAGCGGCCCGCCGAACAGGAATGCGGTCCACGCTCTGCCCTAACAACCGCATCTCATTGCCGTCGGCTCGTCTGTCGGGGCATCGGCGGCGCTGGTCCGCGACGCAGCGCCGTGACAGTGACATATTCGGCGGCTGGGCGCGCGCGCCGCCATGTTGGCCTGCCGGAGAGGCGTCGGCTGCCACCGGCGATCAATGCCAGCCAACACGCACCGGGCGCGCCGCGCCCGCCGACAGCACCGGCCGCGGCGTGACCCGCCCGGCCCCCGGGCCGGCCGCGGCCGCCGGGCCCGGCTCGGACCGGTCGCGGCGCGGCTCAAGGCAGCGCCGATCATTTCCACACAATTCGGGCGCAGGCCGGCCGGGCCTTTGTCATCTTGACAGCCGGACAAAACCCGAGCGACAGCCGGATAAATGGCGCGACGGCTCTGATTGGGCGCCCGACTGGCGCGCGCTTTCCGTCGGCTCCTGTTGACGCTGCCGGCCAGACACTGCAGGCAGCGTTCGGCGCGTCCGGGATCGCCGTGCGCCGAGCCCGGCCGTCTCGCTCGTGACGGCGCTGGCTGGGGACGCCGCGCGCCGCACCCGCCCGGCGACAGGCAACCATGTATTGGACAAGAATAGCTGAACAGCCCGGCGGCAGACCCCCTGCCGCTGCCCACACCCCTATCCGACCCGCCGGCCGGCAACACGATCGGCGAGATACAGCCGCAAAAATCACCGCCAGCGCCGCGCGACACGCCGGCTCGCGGCAGCGGCCATCACGCGACGCACCGCGGCCGACCCTTAGCACCGCCTGGCAGCACGCGCGCGAGACACCACCTCACAGACACGCAGCACGGCACGGCAATTGCTCCCAATTCATCACGCACTCGCAGCGGGGCTCGCGTTATCAGCGGAGCCGCCTAGCCAAGCTCCTCGATCATTTCCATCAGCTCGGGCAGCAGGTAGGCGGTGGTGGTGCCGCCGGGCGGCGCGGCGCCGCACCTCGGCTGCCAGGTGAGCAGCACAGATGGCACTAGCTTCGCCTCGGCCAGCGTCGTCGGGTCGTCGGGACTCAGCTGGTGACCAGTGGGTGTCAGCAGATCGAAGGCCGTGTCTGGTTTGACTAGATTCTCGCGGAGAAAGGCGAAGATGCTGGCCACACGCTCAAGCACTCGGAATGTACCCTGAAAATGAGACGACCTTAGCACATTTGTGGACGCGCCGCGGCACCCATGATCTACTATCGGTCTGTTCCTGATCACCCGTCCCCTATATGGCACCGTCTCCACGCGAACAGCAGCTTGATGATCACCGCAGGTGAAACGGACCAATTCAATATAAAAGGAGGATGAGTGAACACATGTAAACTGTGCTCTGGAGACGTAATCTCTATGATTGTGATTGTCAGCCGGCCCCAGGCCTTGCTAGACACTAGCGCTGGCCCGACATCTCAAACATTGTCACCGCACAGCAGTGGTATATGATGGTGACGACTACTGTTGCAGTGCATAATAAGTTACAATATTTCACCACGTCAGCCTTACAGAAGGTACATCTGGCAACTGGCAGGGTGTGATGAGTTGCAGAAGCTTGTTACTCAATGCGTAATTCTTGAGTAACATACCTTACGGAAGCATTAACATGGTTATTGACACACGCTCGGGTTGAAGTGGGGTAGAGGTTTGACTATTCACGACGGTTTTTCCGAAATAATTTCCGAACAGCGCGGCCCAGCCGCGTCAAACTTTGCAATGCTGTAGGCAATCGAACAGCGGATCTTTGTGGTGCCAAAAATTGGATGCATTTGTAAGGTTACTGACCTATGGCAGGTCGAAAACTGGTCAAAGCTTTCAGCAAATTTCCTTTCTAGGGAATTGTCGAATGTTGTGCAACAAGTGAGTGTTAGATTTTTTGATCTAGGGTCAGGTATCAGTCGAGCCGTGGTTAAGACTGGCCTGCTTTCTTACTCGAGTGCTTACATGTAAGTATAGTTTCTGCTGCTCTTTTCGAATTTACTCATGACAGGGACTGTAACAGACATGTTCGATGAACTTTTAAAGGTCAGAGTGGGTCATTGACCTAATATGATCCAGGACAACATTTTGTTTGTAGGCACATTCCGCCTAGCGTAATCACTGAATCTTAGTTGAGTGGCAAATAGGAACAACGTCGTAGGTTTTTGGTCACCTCGACCTGAGACAGGTCAAACCAGATCACGGACCTTAAATGAGCACCACTGACCTTAGGAGCCCTAGATTCCTGCTTAGCACAGGAATCTAGGGCTCGCGGCGGTTCAGTGAGGAGGCTTGTGGTCGCTTTGGACACCAATCTGGAGTTTGGCCTTGTTTTGACATGAGTTCACATACGGGCTAACCCCCTCTGTGAATTTTGTCTCTCTAACTATCTTAGTTTTCAAGAACTCTGAGAGTCACATTGAGCCCCACCCGAGCGAAGGGTATTCAACCGGCCACCCGGGCGTGCGCTAACAGTGACTAAACACGAAACAAAGTATCTTTAATTTAAAACAGAGTTCTTGGCCAGTCGCAAAACGTAGAGATGGAAGGGCAGCATTGTAGGGAAAAATATACTGGAAAACATACATGTATGAACTGCAGCGCAATGACAGGCGCTTGCACGCTTATGCCAATCAAGTTCATACACAGAAGGTACATTTGTTCATTGAAAATACTTAACAAACGCCGCTGTGGCAAAATCAGCCGCCAGTTGGTCCATGGACGCTTGAAACAACCTTCTGGCTTGTCACAACGCGGTGGAAATGACGACGTCATTGGACGGTCAACAGCCCGTGGTGCCCGTAGCTCAGATCAATTACGAGGCCCTTGCAGCATATCTGATCCAGAGGGCTGGTCACCGACATACAAGCAGGGCCGCGACAGGCATGAATACAACGGCCATCAAGCCGTGTCATCAGAACATGCCACAAGAGTCACCACAAAGCTGTCATAAAGGCAAAGGCAGACAATACGATATGGGATAATCGAAATGACTCCACAAACATCGGTCATCAACCGAGTCTCTCACCGGAGAGTCAGCAACGAAATGTTTGTTCGTAGCGCTGGTTAGTTTGTTGCTTAACAGAAATTACCGGTCGACACTATAACCAGGCCACCCTGATGCCTGCGCTAATGGGCACGCACTTTTTGTGACGGGAGTTTCGAAGTGACTCCGCTAAATTTAAAGGCCGCCGTGCAGTGATCCGTTACGTAATTCACTGGGTCTCTATTGGAACCACACTGTCACACACTGCATCGCGGACTCAGCCTATCCCCGTTCGGCGTGGCCACCTTTGTGTTAAATTGTTCTTAGCCTCAGTTTCCGGGCGGCGATACTGCCTTTGATAATTTGCCACCGTTGCCAATAGCCACGCTAACTGAAACAACCACCTAAAAGTGGCATTACATGATGGAGGATTTCGGCCTGGCTTGACCGGAGTCTGAGGTAGGGTGCCGCACTGCACGGCGTCACTGCATATACCTGATGAGCCTGGCTTGGCCGGAGCCTGAGGTAGGGTGCCGCACTGCATGGCGCTGCCGCACATACCTGACGCTGCTTCAGCCGCTATGTCCGGTATGCTGAGCCAACCGCATTATACCGCACCAATGCATGCCAACGCAATCTGCTCAATCAGCCCTCGGTGCTTATGCACCAGAGTGGGCAATTAATTCTCAGAGCGCGCACTCGTCTGTTCAAAGTGTGGGACTAATGCTATGGCCGAACCTGCTCAGACCCTACACATTTCTATTAAATTTGCCTTGCTACTGCACATCAGAGTTGGCAAGTTTGTGTGAGGTCCGTCCCAAACCGACTTTTTTCCACGCCACGCTGTCGCTCCGCGAGGCCCGCGGTCTTCGGCGCTACGCTGACCTTTATGCGGCTGGTCGTTTGCGGTGGAAGCCTGACGCCCACACTGCGCAACTGCAGCCGCATTCCAATCTGACCCAGTCAGTGACTCTCAAACTGTCCGGCGCGCGGACACTGGCGCCATCTGCGTCACGGGCGACAACTGTTGTACCAGCCGGGCATGCCGGCGATGGCACACGACTGACAGCTGCAGACTGATTGACCTGCGTCTCAGGCGCGTGCTCACCTGCAGCGTGATGCCGTCGGGGAAGCGGACGCGCACCAGGCAGTAGCGGTACTTCCTGAGCTCGCGCTGCTCAGCCCGCTCGCGCATGGCGCGCGTCTGCAGCAGCGTCATGTTCTCCACCACCTCCGCTCTGGAGAGAACAGACCCGTCGTCACGCACTACATCGCCTCCAGCTTGATCAGATATCGGCCGGCACTTTTTCCACCAACTTCACCCAGGCTAGAGGCCAAAGCTATGTTCTCAATCACCCTCCCCCTAAATCAACGACCGGTTCATCTAAATTATTTCTTATACATCCACCCTGAGCGGTGCTCAATGGTTGTATCCCGCATTACGCCTACTGAGCGATCGCGGTCAGACATCGCCCGGACCCGACGGAGCGTCCCGGATGGCCGGTACAGAGAGCAGTCAGTCAATACCCGGACACGACAGAGCGTCCCGGATGGCCGGTACAGAGAGCAGTCAGTCAATACCCGGACCCGACACAGCGTCCTGGATGGCGGTACAGAGAGCAGTCAGTCAATACCCGGACCCGACAGAACGTCCCGGATGTCCGGTACAGAGAGCATTCAGTCAATACCCGGACACGACAGAGCGTCCCGGATGGCCGGTACAGAGAGCATTCAGTCAATACCCGGACACGACAGAGCGTCCCGGATGGCGGTACAGAGAGCATTCAGTCAATACCCGGACACGGCAGAGCGTCCCGGATGGCCGGTACAGAGAGCAGTCAGTCAATACCCGGACACGACAGAGCGTCCCGGATGGCCGGTACAGAGAGCAGTCAGCCAAAACCCGGACCCGACAGAGCGTCGCGGATGGCCGGTACAGAGAGCAGTCAGTCAATACCCGGACACGGCAGAGCGTCCCGGATGGCGGTACAGAGAGCAGTCAGTCAATACCTGGACACGACAGAGCGTCCCGGATGGCCGGTACAGAGAGCAGTCAGTCAATACCCGGACACGACAGAGCGTCCCGGATGGCGGTACAGAGAGCAGTCAGTCAACACCTGGACCCGACAGAGCGTCCCGGATGGCCGGTACAGAGAGCAGTCAGCCGCCGCCCATGTACCACCATGCAGGCAACTTCAGCTTCATCTGTACCAGCAACCCCTCCTAAGCCGCATCACCTGCCCTGGTGCGAGCGCAGCACGTGCATTTCAACAATCGCCTGCTGTAAAATACGGCGAACAACTGTAGACGTACAAATACAGACGTAGCAGATGTACGTACAGTACGTACCTCGCTCTGGGAGCGAGACCTCCCCACCTCGAATCACGACAGCGAGCCGACACAACGCCCCGCCGGCGCGCGGCGCGCCGCACCGACCTGAGCTGCTGCTCGCGCTTGAGCTCCTCCGGCGAGATGGCGAAGAAGTCTGGCGGCAGCGCCACCTGGCGCGACGCCTGGCTGGGCATCAGCGCCCGCACATTCCGGTCCAGCTCGGGCACGATCGGCTCGGCGCCCAGCAGCGCGTCACGCAGCAGCTGCCGGAGGACGGCGTCACGCGGTCGGCGCGGGGTCACGGCGGCGCGGGGCTCTCGGCGCACGTCGCCGTATCGGGAGAGACGTCACAGGGCCCACGGCGACACGGCCCACACCGCGGCACAGGGTCCACGCGGCGACGCAGGGCTCACAGTGGGGAACAGGACCGCGCAGCAGCGAACTGCCACTCAGCGGTGCAAGGTTCCCACAGGGAATGTGACTTATGAAGGAGACAGCCACGCCGGAGCAGGCATGGATATACCTTTTAATCGGCTTCTAAGGAGGGACTGAGACGAGGCGGCCTGATCACTGATGCAATAGTTGATCGGACTATCGCCCACGTCTGATGTGTTGTACACATGTGCGTACAAACACACCGTACCAGGACGACGGTCCAAACAATTATTCCATCCGTGATATCTTCTCAGCACCATAAGAGATAGCGGGAGGTAAAAAGAACAACACAGGGTCGCACATATGTGACTACAATACTGTGACGCTGCTAAACGGCCGGTCTTTAAGACCTGTCATAGGTAACATAAAAAACACCAAAAAAGCAGGCGATAGTACATATAGTACGAAATAACCTCCGCATACGCAGCGACATACTGTACGGCTTAGACCTGTCACTTCAGTTGCAAAACAGTTAACTTAAGTTGCTTAAAAAAAAAACACGGTCCGGCCACGGGATCCTCTCTGAACCGGTCAGGGCATTGCCTCGCCCCACCGGCGCCGACAGAACACAACCCAAGAAGAGCACGACCTCCGCCATACTCCACACAGCACAACAGCCTGATCCCCGCCTGCCTCAGCACACAGCACAACAGCCTGAGCCCCACCTGCCTCAGCACACAGCACAACAGCCTGATCCCCGCCTGCCTCAGCACACAGCACAACAGCCTGATCCCCGCCTGCCTCAGCACACAGCACAACAGTCTGAGCCCCACCTGCCTCAGCACACAGCACAAAAGCCTGATCCCCACCTGCCTCAGCACGCAGCACAACAGCCTGATCCTCACCTGCCTCAGCACACAGCACAACAGCACCAGCCTCACCTGCCTCCGCACACAGCACAACAGCCTGAGCCCAGCCTGCCTCAGCACACAGCACAACAGCACCAGCCTCACCTGACTCAGCACACAGCACAACAGCCTGATCCCCGCCTGCCTCAGCACACAGCACAACAGCACCAGCCTCACCTGTCTCGGCACAACACGGGACCAACAACATTTCCGCCTGACTCCGCACAGCGCACAGCTACGGCAGGCTCGCCGCACTCCGCACACAGCGCAGCAGCACGGCACCCCGTGGCGCGCGCCGCCCTCACCTGGAGCCGCTCGAGGTCGCCGTCGGGCGGGAACACCCAGAACGCCTCCACGCCGTCGCCGTGGGGCAGCTGCTCGCACTGGAAGCCGGCCGCCGCGAGGAACTCGGCGCCGCCTTCCACGGCCGCCACGCGCTCCGTGTAGGCGCGGTTCGACTGACGGATCCGGCGGAATTTGGGCTCGGCCGGCTGCTGCATGATGTTGTCCACGTATGTGGAGAGCGTCTGCACGCAGGTCTGCACCTGTGGACAGGGCGCGCAGCCGGCGTAGGGGTGAGGCTTTGGTCTGGGGGTTCGGCTGTGGTCGCGGCCATACCTGCAGTAGAGTACGGCTCTTACCAACAATGGTTTGAGCAGTATTAGATTTGACAGGATTATACAGCTTTTCAAAAACGCCTCCGATACCCGTTGAGTGTAATTAACCGCGAAGTACATAATAAGAATAACGGACAATGTAACCGGCCACCGCGGTGGTTTGGGTTGTGCCCATTCCAGGCGAGAGATGCAACTTGAATGCTATTTCGAGAGAAGCGATCTACGATTCATGGCTCGGGCTGAGGCGGATCAATAGCAATCTTGTACTGTTTTTATGATAATTCTTCTCTTAAAGGTTATGATTTGCGATGCCCTCCAAAAATGTCACTCTTCCTTGACAGATTCAGCTTCATTTTCAGTGAGATGTGGGCGCAGAAATGTTATCGGTATTGGGTCATCTTGTATACACGGCTGCTACTGCGTCCTGTTCGTTACAGCGCTAGAGCTGTGTGTTTTCCGTGTTTCGCGCGGTTCCAAGTCAGCGCAGTGGCAGTCTCCTTGGCAACCATTCGCCGAGGCCGCCAGTCCTCAGCCATACAGGTGCACGGGGCACAATGCCATGGTGTCAACAGCTGCTGGGGGAACCATGCTCGCTCGCGCCAACACCATCCACCTAACCAAGCGGCCGGCGACCGCAAAAAGAGTACATTTCGCATCAAGGCGGCTCTGTGGCGTCGAAAAACCGCCAGTGGCGGGATAGAGACACAGCCGAGCGCTACAGCGGCAAGCAGCGGCGCCTCGCTCGGCCATGAAGGGGCGAGCTCGACTGGGCTGCCGCCTGCGCGCCGCCTGTCTGCAGCTCCTCTGCTCCGCCTGCTGCCGCTTCTCCGCCTGCTCCGCCTGCTGCCGGCCACAGGTGAGCAGAGACACAGCCGAGCGCTACGGCGACAGGCAGCGGCGCCTCGCTCGGCCATGAAGGGGCGAGCTCGACTGGGCTGCCGCCTGCGCGCCGCCTGCCTGCAGCTCCTCTGCTCCGCCTGCTGCCACTTCTCCGCCTGCTCCGCCTGTTGCCGGCCGCAGGTGAGCAGAGTCGCAGCTGCGCTCGATGTCCCCTCCCCCTCCCCCTCAGAGCGGTGGAGCCGGATCGGAACGCGCCAGCGGTGGTGACCGCCGCTCTGTCCGCACAAGGCCTGCGGACATCATACCCTGCTCGCCGCAGGACCGCGCGGGTGGAGACGGTCCCGAGAGCGGCGACGCGGCGGCGGCGGCGGCGGCAGCGGCGGTCGACACGGCATCGCTCGCTCCCGGACAGACGGTACGTGGCGGTGGGGTCCGCTGGGGCCCCACTCGGTACGTGACCCTGGACTGATGACAACAGGTGATCATTTAGCGGGTTTTACGCGTTTACGCCTCAGATGACTTACAGAGTGCTTTGTCCGGTCCTTGCCGCGGAGGACAGCGAAACACTGGGGAGGGAGCTGGGTTTGAACCTACGCCCGTCTTCCGACTGGTGAGTTCGGTATTCAGCTAAACCTCTATGGACGGGATTACCTTTCGTCTTTTCGTATGCCGACAAACGTGGTCTTATTTGAGCTAATCCTACAAGGCGGATCAGCGACGGGAAACGTGAACGAGCAGCTCTACTTCGATGAGGGCCCGTCTCGACTCTACACCTCTTCCCCCGTCCATTACTTGGGTTTAGGGGTGCAAGCTCATACCCATATGCCAGCATGATCAAGCGTTTCTCTCCAGAACAAAGGAACGCCAGCTTTCCACGACAAGCGTCGCCACGAAGAGAAGAGAACGTGTTCAGAAACGACCTGGTCTGCACTGACCCGCCCACGATGTATTGCACACACAGCGGACATCTCACCTTTTCCTTGTTTGGGTTACACGAGTGGATAATGAGGCATGAAGATATGCCACCATCTTCCACCAGCTGCTCGTAGAGAAACTCTTTGATCTTCAGCTGTATCTCCGCCTTCGGAAGTACCTCGCCTCCTGCAGCGCGATACTTTCTTATGTGAGTGGAAAATGATGCCCAATAAGCCCAAAGACAAATAGTTTTCACCACTGCCTACCTATTCCATGCTCCAAATTTCCCTCAGTAAACACTGAGCCATAGAAAGTGTGATTAAAACTGAACTCAGTGCGGATGATTCTAAGTGGCCAATGATAATGACTGTCTGGAGAAAGGGATGGGACGTCCAGCTAGTATGTCAGAGACAACGTGTGTCAACAATCAACATCACAGTACCGAGAATATCCCCCCCCCCCCTTAAAGAGACAAGGCAGGGCTGCACGTGCACCTCAGAAATCATATTATGACATTCTATACACTTCCAGCTCAAAAACAATTTTGATCGTCACCACATCTGCATACTGGCGACGAAGCACCACACTGCAATCAGCGGATCTGGCACCACGATGCAGCTCAGCTCCCCCCCAGCACTCGCTCCCAGCAACGCCCCGTGCCCGCAGCACCTACCGATGATGGCACACTTGTAGTAGACGCCGTTGACGGCCAGGTTGGGGGCCATCTCCAGCTCGGTGACGCGAGGTCCGGCCGGTGTGGCGCCGCCTTCGGCAGCGCCCGCCGCCGCCGCCGCCTCCTCCTCCAGCTGCTTGCGAGCCTGCGCCCGAATCACGGCCAGCGACCTGGCGGGGACGGGCGGGCGTCACCAGAGCACCACGCCTGACGAGCGTTCTCAGCACGTGGTCTCGACAGCGATTTTGTTCGTATTCGTGTCTGTGGTGTGTTAGCGCCGCAGTCCTTATCATGGCGGCAACGACTTCCCACTTGCAATCGCAAGATACACCCGACATGCGAAACACGAAGCCAGTCCTCGATATTGAGCTCGTCAAACTGACGTGCTGGGACCGGACAATGGTACCACTCTATTCGGCTTCGATAGAACTTGAAAGCCCGCAATATGTAAAGACCATGACATCACTCCAAGCACAACTCAGCGCGCCACAAGACTTTAACCAGGCATGAACCCGTAATTGAACTACGGCGCGAATCCGGAAAATGTTTCAATGGATCTGGTTCTTTGGGACATGACCTAGAAGTCACTAAGGTCTTTTGGAGGTTATATTGCACCAATATTTGGGAAAAAGACGGAGCTATGTTCAAAGTCAACTTTTGACAGAGTCGGATTCCGAACATCCGTTGCAGCGCACATATTTTTCAACCCCTTGATAATATTACGACCATGTCCGACTCAATCCCAAACCTCAACTCCCTCATAATGTTACGACCATATCTAACTCAATCCCAAACCTCAACTCCCTGATAATATTACGACCATATCTAACTCAATCCCAAATCTCAACTCCCCAACAATACTACGACTCAATCCCAAACCGAAACCACTTGAACTTCCGGAGCTGTCAATTCTACATCGCCTTCCGCCCGAGCTGCACGCCCTGCGCGCCTCCACCAGGCATCCCTGCTGACCGGCTGGAGGCGCTGTGCTGCTGCTGCGTCTGCTGGTGCCGGGCCAGCGCCGCCGCGCCAGCCAGCTGCGAGCTCTTGGATGGGTGCTGGCGCTCCTGGACCGGCGCCGGACCGGCCGGCCGTGCGCCGCCCCCGCTCGGCTCGTCCATCCGATGTCCGCGGCCTGCCTTCTTAAACTTGGCCTCAGACCGCTTCTTCTCGATGAACTTCTTCAGTGCATCCATGGTGGGGTGGAGGTGCTGACCGCGGTTGTGTCGGGGCCGGCCGGGTGATCAGTATTTGGGCATGTACTCCTTGGGTAAATTTTGACGCAGACCAAGCTCGCGGAGTTTATCAGCAGCTGGAATGAAAATGATAATTTGGAGTGGTCTGGAGTTTGTCTGCAGTTGGAATGAAAATAGTAAAGTGGAGTGGTCTGGAGTTTATCCACAGCTGCAATGAAAATGGTAATGTGAAGTGGTCTTTTAGATGGTTTTCCAGCACAGAATATGCACTTTGACATACAAGACAGCACCAACTGGCCACTGCAGCATGGTCAGTCAATCAGGCCCACAAAGTTGCTAAAACATTAGCAGCAATTACCACCCTTGCAATAACTTACTATCAGTACCAGTGAAGTGCTCCACGATCCGCTCGCCGTATAGAGACCAGGCCAGGTAGACTAGCACCACATTAGTGGCAAGGATACCCAAGATCACAAGCAGCAGACTAGTTTGGAATTCATCAAGCTCCACCAGGCCTACAGATGGCAAGGAGATGTTGGCTGCTGGGTGCCAGGAGCACAGCAGGCCAAGAGTGTGCTGAAGGGCGTCTGCCACCAGTGGCTGGGTGCTGTTCAGAACAGACACTGTGCTGGTAGAAATATCTTGAAGCACAACACCAATATGGTGCACCAACACCACAGATGTTGACCACACAGATTCCCAAACCATAGAGGTTCCTGTGGCAGGGAGAAATTTATTGTGTTAGGAAACCACCAATCATCACTCCAGCTATATGTATCAGTTGTCATTTTTGCAATAAGGATGCCTCTGGTCAATGCATGATGCAGAGTTTATTAAGATATAAACAAATGATACATTACCTCCCAACAACCTGCCCCTATTCTTGCAAGTCTAGCAAACACGTTTAGAAATGACGTGCCACCCTTCATCTCCCAGAGCAAAACATGTTTAATTGTCCTAGAATTTTCATTTCAGGGAATGACCATGCCTTTCCAATCTCCCACCAACACGCAACACACATCACAGCATACCATACGTCGCGGTGTGAACACCATCCACCACACTATATCTGGACGGCAATTTGACGATAATTCGCCTTCTTCACGAGGGTTTCCCAGTTGTGGGGCACTGACCGCCGTTGAACCAGCATGTACCTTAATGTCCTCTTTCTCACGTACGCACCTCCCCCTCGCACCAAAATCGCCCAGTCACCGCCCGTTTACTAATAGCTGCAGCCCGCACAAGGCTTGCGCGACAGGTGAAGCTACCCAATGCTGCCGATCATTGCGATTTGATTGGGGGGGGGGGGGGGGGGGGGGGGGGGGGGGGGGTTACCAAATATACAAGTCTCTAGATTATTTAAGGACATTCGCAAAATAACCTAACTGGATGGTGAGTTATTCGAAATAAGCAGCCCATACTGGAGAATGATTAAAAAGCCCCCCAGAAGGCGTTCTTGTTTGTAACGCGTTTGCGACATAGTTTTGCGAAGACGGTACGATTATCCGCTGCGATGTTGTAATCCACGGGCGAGTGGCGACGCGGCGGGGTTGCCCTGCGAGTCGCGGTTTGTATGGGACATTGCATTCCGATTTGCTTCCGCAACGGTTAGGAGTTTTCAGGAAGCCAAACAGGTATGGATGAATGTCGCTTCTGGGTAAGAAGTCGAGCTGCTCCGTTGCCTTTAAGTTAAACCTGATGTGTTATGCTTTTCAGGCAGGAATGCAGTAAGTGCCAACCAAGTTTATTTCAAGCCAAGGTTAATTTCGTCTCATGATTATTTCTTATATGTCAAATATATTTTGAGTTTTGGCTTCTGTATATTTTCTCAGTGAACTAAGAACATGGAGACACTGTGGGGTTGCGGTTTTCAATCTCTTTCTTTCCACTTGTGCTAAGGTGCATTGTTGCATTATGCCAAAATATACTACCTGTCCCTGCTATCCCATGGTAGCACTCTACTCATACCACTTATGAATATGTAACATATTGGCTAATGGTTGAAAGACATATTTGCACATGAATGATGGTAATGCAAGTGCTGACTGACGTATGCAGACTACTGCTCCCAAGTTTTATCTATATTGTCTTTAGTTGTTCATTTGCAAATATACTGATTGCTGAGAATGTAAAGCCCCAATTGACTTGATGTCTACTCACAGTCTTATTCTCATGCTTTACCCATTGGGCACCTCGAGCTCCAAGGTTTGTATAAATAAGTATCATGAATATAAAGATAAATTAATAGTACTAATGGGCCAATCCTGAGCTATGGGAGGAGAGCAACTGCACTTAGCCCCAAGCCAGGAAGGCAATAAATGCACAAATATTCTCATTTTGGTATCCAAGTGACCAAATATTATCATGCTGTGACTTTTAACTAGTTCTCCAGAGTGTGAATGTATATAAAGAGCTATACACATTGGCCCTGCTAACAGTCTCAGCTCAACAAGTGCATCTAACTGTATTGCCTAGTGTAAGTTTTGATAAGTAAGTCAGACATGATTGATTACACTCTGATTGGGCTGCACATATGCACTCAACTCTTAGCATGATCACACAACATGACAAAACTTGCAGCTATAGGTAGTGCATCCCATGGCCACAGGCACACACAGTGAATTAGTTTGGTTATTTGTCACTGATGGGCTCACAATATAAGTTTGGTATTTGCCAAATCCAGAAAACTTCACAAAATGTTGATTGTATATGTACATGTTTTGTTCTCCAAACTGAAGCAGCTTTACAAAATGAACCTCAGAATGCTTAAATGTACATGATATTTGGTGATTGATGCAAAAGGTCAACACTCATTAATAAAAAAGTTGCAAAGGAATTCAATGACATCCAGTTTGATAAGTGCCAGTCATTTGGCATTTGTTGCAGCTGGTTAATTTCCAAGTGAGGTGGTCAATGATTTTTCCATAATATGCAACAGTTGTTCATTTTAAGATGCTAGAGGCTGCTAAACCCAGGGCCATCAGCCAGTTGCCTTTATCTGCCTCAGTTCTTATGCAAAGGCCATTACATATCATATATCACTGCTGTCAATCATATCCTGGCCATGAGTGTAAGTTTAGCTGAGAGATTAAATGCCAGGTCAGTTCTTAAAAAGGTTTTGTATCTCTGAGGTACAATGCTCCTTCCACATGCCCCCCCCCCCCCCCTCCTACTCCTCTTTCTGCACACCACCTTTCAAACACTGCCAGTATTCCTCCTCACACTGCCCAAGCATTGACCTGGCAGCACTGCCTGGAAAGTGCCCACATGCCACGAGCCTTGCCGTGGCTGGGGCGACCGCGACCCCGGCTGAGCTTCACCCCCGTCCGGCAGTCCCCACATCCCAGGCGCCTCGCCGTGGCTGGGGTGACCGCGACCCCGGCTGGGCTTCACCCCCGTCCGGCAGTCCCCACATCCCAGGCGCCTCACCGTGGCTGGGGCGACCGCGACCCCGGCTGGGCTTCACCCCCGTCCGGCAGTCCCCACATCCCAGGCGCCTCGCCGTGGCTGGGGTGACCGCGACCCCGACTGAGCCTCGCCCCCGTCCGGCAGCGGGCGTCGGTGGCGGCGCCGGCGACGATGGCGTCCGACGGCTGCGAGCAGCGCTACATGACGTGCCCCGAGTATGGCGACCGCGTGCCGATCGCCGAGGACGTGTCGCGCAGCCTCGAGCCGGGCGCCTTCCTCGACTCGATGCTGGTGACGGCCGATCAGGACGAGTACTGCGCCCTGCTCGCCGCCGACCCGTGCACGGCGCGCGCCAACTCCGACCGCTGCTGGAGAGCGGCCGCTCAGGCGACTCCGAGGTGCGTGACCGCTGCTTGCTCGTGCGGGGCCGTCCGTACGGCTGAGGAACCACTGCCAGCTCGGTGGTTGGCGTTATATGGTGTAGTGTGTTTGGTTTCTAGGCTAATCTTATTATTTTTTGCCATTTTTGGTCCTGTCCCGAGGTCTTGTAAGTTAGGGGTAGCTGCCATCTGTTATGATACGTACCAGGCCAACAGGGTCACAGCGCGGTCCTATCAGTGTCCTGATGGCCAAACTGTACTGTTTGGATGACAATGAAACATCACATTATTGCAGGTGTGCCACCTATAGCGTGGCGCCAACAGTGTGTCGGCTAATACTAGGGGCATTTGCCAGGAGCTGGATGGTCGACTGAACCTGAACGGGCTCCAGCTGGAGACGGCCTCGGTTCAGTCCAGCGTAACCGAGTCCGACGAGAGCACTGATCTGGAGAAGCTCCGGACCGAGGACATCACATCCACACCAGAGTGGAGAAACCAGCAGAAACACATCTTTGTGCTCAGTGAATCTGGGAAACCCATTTTCTCAAGGTACGACGCGAGGCACTTTCTTATTCTTTGTCATGTCGTGTTAAGGCAAAAGGTGTGGACAAATTTTGTGTCCTCTATTGTCAATTTGCATCGGTTTTGTACACCTTTGGGCATTACATTGGCTTGCACATCATGGAAAACCACATGCAAAATCTATCCACTTCTTGTAACTGTAGGAAGTACCATCATAAATTGTTATGCGCGAAACATGTGTAAGTAAACAGAAAATATAGCTGTATGCAAGGTTATAAAAAGGCTTAGTTGACAGATAGGAGTACATGTTGTGACAACTGCCAAGCTGTAGTTTATTCAGGAAGTAGTACACTGTCGAATCAGACACTGATTCTGCAACACATGCAAAGGGCTCATTAGCAGGAAGCTAGCCATACACAGCATGCAGGCTTGGGAGCTTGCTTAAAGGACATGCAGCATGCGGCAACGAGAGCGTCCACGACCGCGTGCACCAAGCAACCACCACGCAAGCCAATACTGCATGGACAACCATGGCACATGCACAATCACCAAAGCATGCACATGGAACCCATCACAGTATTTATGTCATATAAATGGTGAACACTCATCAGCATACCTTGCTCCCTTCTTTTGGGCAAAAGGTGTTTCCTTTGGCCTTTTCCTTTGTTTTATAGTAAGGGTATTAATGTTTGGGTCACCATTTGTGCTGGCACTCAGGCATTCTGTGCGAGCGTAATGATCTGCCTTTCTTTCGACAGATACGGCAGTGAGGAATAACTGGTGATTCTGTGCTTTCCTCTGGAGGACATGACAATGAGCAGCCTCTGGAGACTTATGCTCCCCTCAGTCAGAGGCAGATGGTTCAACATATATGGCAGTGAAGAGCAGCTGGTGACGTCGTGCTTCCCTCCAACAGACATGGCAGTGGGGAGCAGCTAGTGCTCTCCTCTGATGGGCACGGCAGCGAGGAGAAGCTGTTCACGCCGTGCTTCCCTCCAACAGACACAGCAGTGAGAAGCAGCTGGTGATGCTGAGATTCCCTCCGACAGACACTGCAGTGAGAAGCAGCTGTGACGCTGTGCTCCCCTCCAACAGACACGGCAGTGAGGAGCAGCTGGTGACGCTGTGCTCCCCTCCAACAGACACAGCAGTGAGGAGCAGCTGGTGACACTGTGCTTCCCTCCAACAGACACGGCAGTGAGGAGCAGCTGGTGACGCTGTGCTTCCCTCGAACAGACACGGCAGTGAGGAGCAGCTGGTGATGCTGTGCTTCCCTCCAACCATAGCGTGACGAGAAGTTGTGACGTCGTGCTCACCTCCAACAGACATGGCCGTGGGGAGCAGCTGGTGCTCTCCTCTGATAGGCACGGGCAGCGAGGAGAAGCTGTTCACGCCGTGCTCCCCTCCAGCAGGCACGGCAGTGAGGAGCAGCTGATAACGCTGTGCTCTCCCTCCAACAGACACGGCAGTGAGGAGCAGCTGGTGACCGGCTGTGCTTCCCTCCACAGACACTGCAGTGAGAAGCAGCTGGTGACGCTGTGCTCCCCTCCAACAGACACTGCAAGCGAGGAGCAGCAGGTGACGCTGTACTTCTCTCCAACAGACATGGCAGTGAGGAGCAGCTGGTGACGCTGTGCTTCCCTCCAACGGACACTGCTGTGAGAAGGCAGCTTGTGTGACGCTGTGCTCCCCTCCAACAGCATGGCAGGCGAGGAGCAGCAGGTGACGCTGTGCTTCTCTCCAACAGACACGGCAGTGAGGAGGCAGCTGGTGACGCTGTGCTTCCCTCCAACAGACACGGCAGTGAGGAGCAGCTGGTGATGCTGTGCTTCCCCTCCAACCATAGCGTGACGAGAAGTTGGTGACCGTCGTGCTCACCTCCAACAGACATGGCAGTGGGGAGCAGCTGGTGCTCTCCTCTGATAGGCCACGACAGCGAGGAGAAGCTGTTCACGCCGTGCTTCCCTCCAGCAGACACAGCAAGTGAGAAGCAGCTGGTGATGCTGTGCTTCCCTCCAACAGACACTGCAGTGAGAAGCAGCTGGTGACGCTGTGCTCCCCTCCAACAGACACTGCAGTGAGGAGCAACTGATAACGCTGTGTTCCCCTCCAACAGACGCTGCAGTGAGAAGCAACTGATAACGCCGTACTCCCCTCCAACAGACACGGCAGTGGGGAGCAGCTGGTGACGTGGTGCTTCCCTCCACAGACACGGCAGTGAGGAGGCAGCTGATGACGCTGTGCTCCCCTCCAACAGACACGGCAGTTAGGAGCAACTGGTGACGCTGTGCTCCCCTCCAACAGACACTGCACTGAGGGGCATCTGATAACGCTGTGCTCCCCTCCAACAGACACTGCAGTGAGGAGCAGCTGGTGACGCTGTGCTCCCCTCCAACAGACACGGCAGTGAGGAGCAGCTGGTGACGCTGTCAGGCGTGATGCAGGCGCTCGTCTCGTTCGTCCAGGACGCGGGTGACTCATTGCGCGCGCTGCGCACCGGCGACCGCACGATTGTCTTCCTCAGCCGGCCGCCACTCATACTCGTGGCCGTGTCGCGCGGCCCGGAGAACGTGGCCCAGCTCACCGTACAGCTGTCGTGAGTAATGCAGCGCTGTCGGGCGCTCGTTCATGCCTCGGCTGTCCAGCACTTGGGAGTGCTGCGCCGTGTTGGTCGTCTCAAACGTTTGGTGGTTGTTGTGGGCGTCATGCGGTCTGGGTGTTGCGTCAAGGTAGGTGAGTTCTGTGCTGACTTCAGTGTCGAGCTGTTCCCAACTGGCTGCGCAGCTTCCGTGAGTATTGCTGGTGTCCGGGTGTCGTGGGTGCCACGCTGTCGAATTTCCGCCGCCGTCCTTTGTCAAGCGAGATGGCGCTGCACTCGTCAAGTTGACACGTGAACGCTGACTTTTGGGGGTCATACCGCCGCACGGCTCTTGCCGAGGCGTTAGACAAGCCCTCATCTCCGCTCCGCCGGCGCGTTTCAGACACATGTACTGCCAGATCCTGTCGGTGGTGACCCAGTCGCAGCTGACGAGGATAAGCGAGCAGCGGCGCAACTTTGACTTCCGCAAGCTGGTGTCTGGCGCCGAGCGCTTCTTGGACCAGCTGATCGAGGCGGTGGACGCGCGCGCCGTCTACCTGCTGCACGCGGTGCAGTGCCTCCGGCTGGAGCCCGGCCCGCGCGACGCAGTCATCACCGCCATACAGAGCGTCTGCGCCAAGATCAAGGTGTGACGGTGGGCACCGCACGACACCGTTCGCCGTCACACCCATATAACGTCCTCCGGTATTTTGTCGATGCGTGTAACTGGTGTTGTCCTTCATGTTGGGGTATCTCATGCTGTTTGTCGCGATAACTGGATAAGTTTTACACATTGGACGGCATTCAAATGGGGAACCCGATTGGAGATAGAAAGTTCTGAGCAGTATCTGTACCAAGGTCCCGTGACAACAAGATCGCTGTGATGCTGCGCGTGCCACCTGTGCTCCTGGGGCGGTGGCCGGAGCGGGCCGGCCAGAACGTGAACACACAGCAGCGGGTCCTAGTCCACCGGGGCTGTGATGTGATGGCAGACTCACCACCCCTCCCGCTGTTGGTGAGATCTTCTGGCCCCCGTTGTGAGACTGTTCCCACGGTCCGGGCGCGGGCATCCGCCACCTGTACGCTGCTTCGGGAGCCGGCGTCGGGCTGCGCCCTCGATGCACTGACGGTTGGGCGGTGCTCGCACTCGCCAGGATCTGGTGTTCGCGCTCCTCATCTCGGGCGACCGCCTGATCGGCCTGGTGCGCATCCGTTCCCACTACCTCCATCCCACCGACTACCACATCGTCTGCAATATCGTCTCATCCACCGAGTCGTTCAGGACGGTCGAGGGGTGGATCCCCATCTGTCTGCCCAAGTTTGACTCCAGGTGAGCGGCAGGGACTGGTCTCGAGCGGATGCTGCGCAGTGCAGGCGGGACCGCGTTGTCGGTGTTGCGAGTGACTTTGTGTGGGATTTAGGGCGGGTGGAAGTCATGTCTCCCGGGCTTATTGACGAACCGGCATACGAAGTACAGCAAACTGTACTCCAGGAATGGGTACCCACTCTTCCAATGTAGATCCTTTGGCATCTGGGTTACTTTTTGCTCCGCGTGGTCACGAATTTTAAAATGTACTGGGTGTTTTATTCGTACGAAACACGGCAACTTCATGTGGCAGACCTACGCCATTATCACTGTTGTGTTTCCAAGGTTTGACTGTTTATTATCATTATTTCACATGGGAATAGTGGACGCCGTGACCCACAGACCGTTAAATTATACTGCTGTTTGTACTTACCCATGCTATATCAATGACGTCTAGTACATGGTCACATCGCTGTGCGTAATTTAACTAAATGAACCTGCAGATGCGTTCACATCAAAGCTGGTTTGAAAACGGGCTTCAGGCAGATTGATACAACAGTAGGATTATCTTAGGCACGGGTGGTCTGACGACTTTCCCCAGATGTAGCTGTGAACTCTATTCTGAATGCGCAACCTTTGTTCGATAAGCTCCCAGTAGGTGGCAGTGACTTCCGCTCGTATCCGTGATAAGACGCATGTGCTGCGACATGCTGGAGAACCGTTCCATCGAGACGCAGTAACGCGGACCCGGCTCATGTCAAATCTGACCATCATCTGATGGCGCATATCTCTGCTGCGTCCACTGGCGTCTCGACACGTCGCCCACGCAGTTATGACACGAACAGCGCACCGTCGCGCCACTCCCCGCGCGCGCCGGCGCGGATTGGCCGCTGTCTGTGGCCTGGCGAACAGCGGGCCGAAGGGCGGCGTGACAGGCTGCGAGCGCGGGCCGCCGAGCGTCGGCCGCGTCGGGATGCAGATGGGCCTGCTCGGGCGGCGGTGCCGTTGACCCTCGAGCCGGGCGGTGCGTCCGCTCGGGCCTTACTCGGGCCGGCGGCCGCCGCGGGCGCACGCCCATCGCGTGTCCAGCGCGGCGATTGCGTAAGCCGCTGCGGTGGTATGCCGAGGCGTGTGAGCCCGGCCGCTGCCGCCCCGGCAACCGGGCGATCGTGGCGATGGTGTGACCATGAACGGAGCGGGTGCTCTTGTGTTGGAATAACAGGAAGTCAGCCCGTCCCTTGTAAAGACTTCGCTCTCCATTCAGCAGGGAAATGCTGTTAGGAGTGGGAGCTCGCCACGTTCGCCGGCCTGAAGATTGGTGGTATACATGGAATGACTCCTTCGAATATTAACATACCCATCTTGTTTTTATGACGTGTTCGAAGAGAAACACGCTCTCATAAAGTGCCGCAGTCCAAAGATCGAAAGGTCGACACGAACAGCAGAACATGAGGGACTTAGGTTTCAGCTGTATCGATGCAGGTGGCCGTAACTGGCAACTCATCGCAAACTTCGCTGGAAGGACACGCGCTTTTGTTTGCACATTCTTGTGCGTCTCGCGTACTTACCATTTGACAAGATGACATGTAGTTACATTGCCTGCCGACATGCTCAACACTCTGCTATGAAGAGCGTGCTGATGTAGCTATAATGCTGCGGCGACATAACCGTTTTTTTATTTCTAATGTGAAAAAGCGCCAGTTTGTTTGTATAATGGCCCTGGCAGCCAACGTGCCTTAAAACTCAATACTACGTGTGGATTAATCGTACTACTTTGTTTAATGGCGCCTTTTGCATACATTCTGCATGATGTCACCTTTTGTGAAATCATTTAGCTATTCGGGTGTCTTTATTCGTAAAAATCCCCTTCTGGCCGTGAACCACCTCTAGAGCGGAGGACTGTTTGTTACCCGCACCTGAGAACCTTCACTGCCCCCCCCCCCCCCTCCGGCTGAGACCTGAGACCCCCGTCACCTGCCCTCGAGGCCTCTGAATGCCTGTTACGTGTCCCCGAAGCCGCTGAATGTCTCACGTGTCCCCGAGGCCGCTGGCTGTATGTCACCTGCCCCGAGGCCGTTGACTGCCTGTCACCTACCCCGAGGCCGCTGAGTGTCTGTCACGTGCTCCCGAGGCCGCTGGCTCTGTCATCTGTTCCTAGGCCTCTGGCAGGTGTGCCCGAGACCGCTGACTGTATGTCACCTGCCCCGAGGCCGTTGACTGTGTGTCACCTACCCCGAGGCCGCTGAGTGTCTGTCACGTGCTCCCGAGGCCGCTAGCTCTGTCATCTGTTCCTAGGCCGCTGACTGGCAGGTGTGCCCGAGGCCGCTGACTGTATGTCACCTGCCCCTGAGACCGCTGACTGTCCGTCACTGGCCCCGAAGCCGCTGAGTGACTGCCACCTCCCCTGAGACTTGCAACCATCTGTCACCTTTCGAGCTGCCGCCTTCTAGTAAATGCACCGGTCTCCCTCCCGATGAACGCTACCTCTGCAGCGCGTAACGCTTATCTGTCGTCGCTGACGATAGCGTTACGAGCGCACTCCCGCCCTCTGCCACCACGCCCAGTGTGCTCTCCCTCACACAACCGCGGCGCACATGAGACGTGTGTTTGCGTCTGTTTCAGCGGGTTTATGTACGCGTACGTGTGTTACATATCGGACGACTGCCCGGCCTGCCTGGTACTGCTGACCGCCGACCGTGAGAGCTTTCACGCCCTCTCGCGGGCCAAGACGAAAATAGCCGAGGTCAGTGGCCCGGCGGCGGCCGGCGCGCTCAAGGTCGCCGGTGACTTGTTGATTGCCTTTCAAAAGGAGGCGCTGCTGACGCTGGCATGGCCTTCTGCGGGCTGATACGAGCTGGACATCGGTCGTGTGTGTGTCGTGCTGTTGTTGGCGCACGAGATCGCGGCGACCGGTCCGCTCCCGGTTCGACAGGGTTTCAGGCCCTGAAGGGTACCGACAGCACTGTCACGGCGCACACTTGTTGATTGACAGGAAGCCCATGGCTTACCGCATATCGCACGCAAGCGCAGGTGCGTTCTTACGCACAAGCGCGCGCCGAGGCGAATGACCTCGCGCTAGCAGGATTTCAGCAGCACGCCCCCTGCGCGCCCCAACGCTCGCAGCCGTTATGACACGACGCAGCGGGTAGAAGAAGGAGGTTTTTGGGTGGACGCAAAGTTAACATATCGCGGACGGGAGTCCAAGCACCAAACCATCGTCCGTCTGTTACGCGCTGCCGACTGTTTGCCGAAATTTTTGAAAGAAGTCGTCCGCGTACTCGGGAGGGAAAGGATGGGATGCGCTGGTGGTGGGGTGGGAGATTTGCAATGTCGCGTGCTTAGGGAATCTAAACGACGTTTTACTGCTTTAGTCCCATAACAGGGTAACAGTGCCTGTACCTGTAGCGTCAGGCGTGTACGTGTATCTGTAATACGTTACTCTTCACATGACGCCGCCCAGTTACGACCGATTTTCTGTTTACGTAGGCGTTCTGGTGGCGGTCTTGTGCCTCTTATTTGTCTTACATGAATACTGACCGTGGCCGCTCAGGGGCGTCTGACATCTGCTCTGGATGATCGCCCCGGCTCGACCCAAACTGTCAGAACGGTCAGTGGCCTTTGTTCGCCGCCACTACTGAACACAAGAGTACGCCTCGAGGGGGGGGGGGGGGGACTGGCGCGCACCGGTCATGGGGCACGCTGAGTAGACAAACCACTCACAAGATGTGTTTCGTCGTGATTGATGTGCCGCTGCTGAACGTCATGAGCACCTGCTGTAACAAAAAACAAGAACAAAAAACTCCAGGTCCTTGGAGACGCCTCACTGTCCATCCTGTCCACAAAGCCTGTCTTTGTTCACACCTTGCAGGATCCAGACCCATCCCTCGGTCTCCGTCACGGCCAAAGCTGCCGAGCGGATCGCCCTGCGCCAACTCCATGTGTGTTTCTCTTGGAGCAGTCTTCCTGCTCATGCTCAGACCGGTTTTATGCCTTGTCGGTCGGCTGAGACGGTGCTGCCTGAACACCGCTTCCGCCCGAGGCGGCGCTGCGTGATCGCCGCTTCCTACCGCATTCTGTTATCGACTGATGGGACGGGAGCGCAATCTGCTGTTCATTTGACGTTAGTGAATATCGTCATGCAAGTGATTGGCTGAAGCTTTTGACAAAATTGCGGTTGCGTGGAGCTCGCGCGGAATGATTCCGCTCTTGCCTCGCTAACCGTGCCCAGGGCGTCTCCACCGCGAGGTCCTCGTACGCTGCAAAACAACGCCGGAGCTTTTCAGGGATCTGCCCTGGGGCCCATTCCTCTGGTTCGTTTTCGCCGACGACCTGCGCCGCTCTGCGCCTGAGGCCCACGCCATTCAGTACGCCGATGACACGCAGATTTTGGTGCTCGGCGGGGAAGATGCGTGTGCCCTGTCTGCCCAATTGAGGGCTGCCTCTCCTCACTGGGCATGTGGCTTACTGTAAACTCTGAAAGTGAATGCAGAGCCGAAATTGGATGGTGTTTGGCAGGCACCACAATGCTTCTCCAATCCGAATTCACTTTTGTGCAGGGTACTACTTGTCCCGATTTCACGGCATTGGGGTCGTTTTTGACCGATTACTGTTGCGGGGCGCTCGCATGGCTCACTTTGCACGTGGTTGCCCCAGACTTATGGTCGGACACAGCCGCTCACGGTATTACCTTTCTCAAAATGCAGTAATGCAGTACACAACCTGCTTCTCTTACACGTAGGATAGTACATTTCATTGCCTGGGACGGCTCTGTCGAAAACCCTACGCACATTCCGAAGGTCGGTAACTTCAGCACGAGGGGCAAACCTGGCAAACCCGTATTCGATCTCGTATCGAACGTCGTGAGAGAATTGAGCTGACTTGCCTCTAGCTGAGCATCGCCGCGTCATTTCTGTTCATAACTCTGGCGAGAATCTTCGTTTCTTGCTCGTTTCTACAGACAGGATGCCACCGGCGCCCCAGGTGCGCGCGGCGGGACGGGTTGTCGCACCTTCCGAACATCTGTGCCATAGCTGGCAGGCGCCAGTCTGCGTACTGCTCCCCTCTTCTACACAACAGACAGCCCCTTGAGACCGAAACTTGACTCAATTAAAATGACTTCAAGGCGTAAAAGGACTTCAAGCGTGACAACATGACACAGCTAGTGTTCTGGCCGATATAAGTGGCATCATGCGACGGCGTGGGTCCCCCACACCCAGCAACAGGCGTCAGCAGCACAGCTGGTGTTCTGGCCGATATAAGTGGCATCATGCGACGGCGTGGGTCCCCCACACCCAGCAACAGGCGTCAGCAGCACAGCTAGTGTTCTGGCCGATATAAGCGGCATCATGCGACGGCGTGGGTCCCCCACACCAGCAACAGGCGTCAGCAGCACAGCTAGTGTTCTGGCCGATATAAGCGGCATCATGCGACGGCGTGGGTCCCCCCACACCCATCAACAGGCGTCAGCAGACGCTGATCCCCAAGCCGCGGTTGGTAATTCCTCGCGGTGCAGGCGGAGCTTCCGCCTCAGCAATGTCGTCGTTCTGGCCGAGCCTTTCGGTATTAGTTTGAACCGGTTTGGCCCTGCTGGGTCATAATCCTCGTTTTTGTGGGAGGTGGGACCAATGACCGTGTTTTTGTGCCCGTGGTGCCCCACTTTCGATGTAGCTTCCGGGAATTCTTCGTTTGTTGTCGCATTTGGATTAGTAGGAGGCTTACATCACTGCTCGCCTAGCATCAGCCGTTAGTGCGGTAGTAATATAAACTATGACTTGGGAATAAAAGACGTTTGGTCCGTCATGCCTTTTCCACCAACAGCACACGAACAACCACAGCTGGACTGTTACCTGCATAGCAACCGATTAGAAACGTTTCCTTATATTGCATTGTCCTTTGGAGGCACGTAGCAGAAGTGGACTCGGTGGACAGAGAGGAAATAATGCTGATTATCTCTAGAACCCAGCGAACTTTACCAAATTTCCGCAAAATCACTCAAAATCTCGTCCACACATCTTGTATCAGGGGGGGGGGGGAGAAAACAGAACCCTGGGCCCTCCACTTGGTTTCGTCCCTTGCCCTTTGGTACCTGCGTTGGCATCTGGAAACTTTTGAGCGTGTGGGCGGGGATGTTTTCTGTGGCCTTGGTGTATTTCGTAACCCCGACTGTTTTGGTCTGGCCGCACGCGACGTCTCGTTCGGTCTGGTTTGGCCCCCTCCGGTGTCGCGTTATGCGCGGCCAGGCTGCGCCCGACGCCTCGTTTTATTTGATCTGGCCATACAGCACTCAGTCGGGCCCCACCCGGTCCTCGCACGCCTCCGATCACCGCGTGGGCGGGGCTTGGAGAGCGCTCGTGCCGGCTGGGGTGCCGGTGCTGCTCGGGAGGCAGGGTCGGCCTCGGCGGGGTCGGCCCCATAACAGCTCTCGATGCTGTGGGACTTGTAGCGTGGCATGGCAAGGAACTGATCGCAGCGTTTAAACGTATCTTAACGGACTATGACGGAAGCCTGCTTTATGGTGATATGTTTTCCCTGAACAATTTTGTAAAGACCTTCGGTTCGTATGTTTTCCCTGCACAGTTCGGTAAAGACCTTCGGTTCGTAACGTGACCAGCACGAGTGGCCTGCGTCGGGGGGCAAAATCAGGCAGACGGTGGACTGAGCGAACGCCCCCCCCCCCCCCCAATTGTATAGTCATGGTCATTAATCTGCGCACTTTGACTGCCCCTCAGAAAATGCAGCAGTGCGGTGCCGCGCAACAGATAGCTATCTCCATAGCTAGCGGCGACTACTCCGTCCAAGAGACAGGTATGATCTCACGTAATGCCATTTTTCACCACGAACGAGCTGCCTGCGTGGTTCGTCTGGCACTGCGCTGTTTCTTCTGTGCACAGGTCTGGGTGCTGACGGCTATTCGAGTCCCCATCGTACTGCGCGTCGCATGACATTCATGGACGAGACCTCTCACTCTGCACATGCTCAAGGCTCGTCCCTTGACCTAGTCGCTTGGACCGATCCATCTTGTACCTCGGGGCCGGCCACCAGCCTCGGCCCGCGCTGCACCGATGCCCTGCTGCATGGTCTTGACGTGACGCACTGTCCTGCATGTGTCGCGTTGTTATCTGTGATCGCCGTCCTTTATGGGTTCTGAATGAGCGATGCTGTGATTGTGTTGTGGTAGCAGGGTTCGAGGCAAACCAGAATTTAAATGAGACAGTGCAATAGCCTTATTCATCGTAGAAAAAAAACAGGGGAACGGAGAGATAGATGCGTTGGTATGTCGGCGACATGCCCTTATGGAAACGAATGGCAGTTGTAAATTCAAGGTGGCCCACCGATGGTCGTACTCAATTTTTCTTCTCTTTTTTTGTTGAAACAGCGAGCTACAGTTTTACAGGTCACCAACATTCAGGGGATTTGTTCGGTGCATTAGCCAGGAACATTATTCACATATATAAGACAGCAGTATTAGCCATATTCCCCGGAGAAAAACCGGGAGAATGGGGATATAGTTGGGTTGATATTTCAGCAATATACCTTTATCGAAACAATAGCAGAAGCTATTGTTTCTGTAAAGCTTCTGCTATTGTTGCAATAAAGGCATGTACCCGAAACATCAACCCAACTATATCTCCGTTCACCTGTTTCTGCGAGGAATAAGGCTAATACTACTGTCGAAGCATTCAGGGGATAAAAAAGAGTCATTGCCAGCTATTACTGCGATACAGTGCGTATCTAAGAATTGGAATACGCAAAAAAATATGTGAACATGCAAGTTCATTCAAGTAAACAGGCATCACGCACCACGCTTCATTCAAATATGCAAGCGATTTCAAGTAAACATGCATCGTGCATCACGCGTTAGGCATCACTAATGCATGTAAACTGTTTAAAGTTAGCACGCATCACACATCAAGGCACTTTTAATCGGTCATAATGAGCCTTATACGCTAAGGTCTGGTCGCCGACTTTTGTAATAACAAATTCATCTTATTGTGTTGTCTAGATGGTCTTGTGCTCTGTAGACGACTTTTGAGTTCTAAAGAGGCATAGAGTCCATGCCTATCTGGATATCAGCCTGATAGTGTTTTGCCAAAAAAGGTTTTCGAAAGAGGCATTCCCGGTTTTGTTTTTAGCGTTTCACAGGTAGTCATTATTTCTCAAACGAAGGGGGTGCATGGTCTCCCCGACATAGACTATGTCCCTCTCATGTTTTTCGCATAGTTTCCACTTAATTTGGTACGCCACCTTTTTGCGTGCAAACCCCTTGAAACTCAGGCTTGTATAAATGACATCTGTTGCCACCCGGGCACTTAGGCTTTGAAATGGAAGTTTTGGCCAAGGCCTGTTTAACTGGAATCGTTTGCAGGTATGATTGATGCATGATACGTGATGCATGTTTTCTTGAAATCGCTTGCATGTTTGAATGAAGCGTGATGCGTGATGCCTGCTTACTTGAATTCGTTTGCATGTACACGTATTTTTCGCGTGCATTCTAATTCTTAGTTAGATATGCACTGTACCGTAGCAATGGCTGGCAATTGCTCCTTGTTTAATCCCCTGAATGCTACTGACCTGCAAAAACTTGTGGCTCTCTGTTAAAAAAGAACATGAAATCGAGTAGGATCATCGGCAGGCAATCCATATTTATTTCTGTTATTCGCTGCGAGAAGGGCATGTTGCCGAGATATCAACGCATCTATACCTCTGTTTTCTGTTTTCTGCATCTATATTCTTCTGTTTTTTTACGATGAATAAGGCTATTACTACTGCGTTATCTATATGCATGATGTTCCTCGCAAGTGCACCTAACAATTTACAGAATTTAAATGTAACAATTCTCTCTTAGGAATGTGACGAAGTGCGATATAAATATTTGCTATCACCCTTAAAGATCATTTTGTGGCTGTATGGGTGCCATTGAGGCTAGGGATCGTGCGCAACGCCGGTTGTCGAGCGAACACTCAGTGTGGGAGGCTGAGGGCTCCCAGTCCCTGCCAACAGTCACGGGCCGCGTCATCGATCTCTGTGGCGCGGCCTCGCGTCGTCACTGTACCTCCCAGACCGGCAAGGAAGCGTCCGTGAGGATCGAGCCCACACTCGCCACTCACCACAGCCGGATCCTCCCAGCTACCTGCCTGCTGTCACGCCCGGCTGTAGGGCTGTCACGCGCCGGTTGTCGCGTTCTGTTTCATGTCACGTCACCCTGCTTCACATGCTCGCCATTGTCGCACGCGCGGCCACAGCGAATTCCCCGCAGTGCCGTCGGCGCGCTGACGAGCCGCCTCCTCGCCGCAGGCGTGCTGGACATGCGCCACTTCATGTACAAGTGCAAGTCGACAGCGCAGAGCACGTGTCCGGCGCCGAGCGCCGTGTACGCGTCGGCGGCCGGCCGCCGCCGACTGTACGCGCTCTATCACATCGTGCACGGCCGCATCCACGCGGCGGCGCGGCCGCTCAAGACGTACTACTTCGCCGGCAGCCGAGAGGTGGTGGTCGGATGGGTGAGTGAGGGGCGGCGCCCCGGCTGGAAGTAGCCCTTGCGCCAGGGCTTTCTCGTGCTGAATCCGTGAACCTGGTTCGTGGCTGAAGTAAGTAAGTGCTGTCCTGCTTTTGAAAGCATCTGGATAGTTAGGACCACTGGAAAAATGCTGTTTTATACGCGTAAGTACCGAAAAAGTGCTATCTTCTGATTTGTACGGGTACTGTTTGCCAACCTTTTGTCCTCATGCCGCATTATGTCTGTAGTGTTTTGTTGTAATATGGGCGCTGTGGATGGCTTTGCACGGTAGTGGTGCCATCACTACGACAATGTCCTGGGCCGTAGCTTTACTGACATAGTGGGTCGGAGCAATAAGTTCAAGAGTGCCGATAGTTTCATTGTTCTGCATTCGTGTAGAATTAAAAGACAACATTTTCTGAAATGCAGCAGCTGAGCGGACCGTCTGTGCCCGCCCACAGGTGAGCCCCGGCTTTGAACTGTACAGCCGTGTTCGAGCCACACGTCACGCAACAGACGTCCATCTCCGAGATGAACCGGCTGCTGCGCTGGATCAAAGACCACGAGCGACAAATCTTCATTCTCGGCTCGCCCGTCTTCTAGGGCGGCCGGCCGAGACCGTTAGGGAACCGCCGGAGTGGCAGGACGGAATCGCTGAGTGGTCAACACGGAACGGCCGGAGTGGATGGAGGGAACCGCTGGAGTGGCCGGGCGGAACTGCCGGAGTGGCGGGACGGAATCGCTGGAGTGGGGTCCACACGGAACGGCCGGAGTGGATGGAGGGAACCGCTGGAGTGGCTGGGCGGAACTGCCGGTGTGGCTGGACGGACCTTCAGAGTGCCCGGGTGAAACCGTCGGAGTGGCTAGGCGGAACCGCTGGAGTGGCTGGACGGAACCGCGGTAGTGGCTGGACAGAACCGCGGGAGTGGCCGGGCGGAACCGCCGGAGTGGCGCTGGACGGAACCGTCAGAGTGATCGGGTGAACCGTCGAAGTGGCTAGGCGGAACCGCTAGAGTGGCTGGACGGAACCGCGGCAGTGGCTGGGCGGGACGGTCATATTGGCCGGGTGAAACCGTCGAAGTGGCTAGGCGGAACCGCCGGAGTGGCTGGGCCTGAGCCGTCACGACGTCGGTTCGGCCCGTTGTGCGGTGTAGGCCCGGACCCGCTGAGTCCGCTGTATGGCTATTGCCGGTGTTTCCTGTGCTGCAGTGGCGCTCCGGTCTGCGTCACCGATGGAACCCTCCGATGCAGTGTGGGGCCAGCGGCCGGGCTGGTGCGCGCGCCGGTGACCGGGCGGGGGGGCGCCTCTGCCGATGATGTGCAGGAGCGCCCCCGCCGACTCTAAGCATTCGCTGAGACTGTGATCAAGCCACGCCGGGCCGATAGGTGTTTGTTGTTATGGCAGCAAGTCATTCAGGGAGAGTGGAATGCGGAAGAATGAGAGGGAGAGGGAAAACGCGAGAGTAAGAGTAAGATCGAGTGAATACGCGAGCGAGGTAGTGAATGGCGTGACTGAGAGTTAGATTGAGTGAATACGGTTGGAAGGCAATGAATGGTGCCAACTTTCCGCGTGCCATCGTGCTTGAGTGAACGAGGGAGGCAATAAGGAAGGCTAGTTTTGTCACCTGGGGGATATGAGTGGTAGGGGCAATGGAGAACGATTCAGTGAGAGAGAGGAGACGGTGTAATATTAATGAAGCAGGTCAGGACTAGATATGGATGGAGATATGAGATGCCTGGTTGCAGAGCGTCCCTGCAGACTCTATTCCTGCCCTCGTGTTTTATCGAGCTGAACAAACTGCGTGCTAGTGCGAAGGGGCGTTGCATTCCAGTGACTATTCGCCGTGTGTTTATCGGAGCGATGCCGTCGTTACAACTGTCATGTCAGTCATGCTTTGCAGTGCATATATTTAACATATTATTCGCATGATGGTGTATAGAGCATAGCGATTGAGGACACGGCGACAACGACGAATTGAGTTTTGGCACGGGATGAGTGTGATCACCGGGATCAGTGCTGAGGTTACGGGGCAAAAACGTCATCCACATTCCCTAATCTCTTCTCGGCATCATACAAAACGCTGAAAGGCGACTAGAAGAAAGTGTATCTTCAAGGCACAAGACACGTTACACATCTTCTGACCGTAGGTATCAGGTACTCCTTGAGAAACCGGGCCGGACTCTTGGGTGAGTGTGAACCCGATCACCCCGACTCTGGACCTTACTGCACACCAGTGCTCAGGCCGCGTTCAGGGATGCGTCGCTCCCGTTGGCTTGAAAGGTCGCCCACGCTGCGTAACATTCGTGTTCGTGCGGTGCTGGAT